AACTAGGGCAAATGGTAAATAGATCTATGACATGGACACTTAATTAAAAGAGCGATATCTAACTTTTTTGTTTTTCAAATAAATCCAGGCCATTCAAACTTATTTGCAAATAAAGAAAATCCCTTTATATATACCAAAATTAACCAATTCATTGAAACCCAATTCAACTCCAATTTCATGATTTACACCCCAATTTAGCCCAATTTCATCAATTAACCAATTTTAACCATAATTTCAATTTTGATCTGCCACCAATGGAGACCGCCGGCCGCCGCCGTTGACCGGCATTGGCTTTTTTTTTTTTTTTTGTGAAATTTTTTTTCCCAGAATTTTTTTTCCGGCCGGTCAACTGCCGTTGACCGCCGGGTCTCCGACGTTGACTTTTTTTTTTTTTTTTTATAATTATATTTTTTCTTAAAAAAATATTTTAATTAATATTACTGTCTTGGCTGCTAAATTACTGTCTCCGGCAGTTATTTAACTGTCGGAGACAGTAATTTAACTGTTAATTGACTTCTTTTTTTTTTTTTCTTCAAAAATATTTTAATTAATAATACTGTATTCGTTGCTAAATTACTGTCTCCAGCAGTTATTTAACTGTCGGAGACAGTAATTTAACTGTTAATTGACTTTTTTATTCTTAAAAAAATATTTTTAATTAATATTACTGTATTCGTTGCTAAATTACTGTCTCCAGTAGTTATTTAAACTATCGGAGACAGTAATTTAACTGTTAATTGACTTTTTTATTCTAAAAAAAATATTTTTAATTAATATTACTGTATTCGTTGCTAAATTACTGTCTCCAGCAGTTATTTAACTGTCGGAGACAGTAATTTAACTGTTAATTGATTTTTTTTATTCTTAAAAAAAAATATTTTTAATTAATATTACTGTATTCGTTGCTAAATTACTGTCTCCAGTAGTTATTTAACTGTCGGAGACAGTAATTTAACTGTTAATTGACTTCTTTTTTTTTTAATTTGTTTTTCTTAAAAAAAAATATTTTAATTAATATTACTGCATTGGCTGCTAAATTACTGTTTCCAACAGTAATTTAACCGTCCTAGACAATAATATTAACAATATTACTGTTCGGGAAAATAATATTCATAATATTACTGTCCCAAACAGTAATATTACTGTCTGAGACAGTAATTTAGTAGCCAAGACAGTAATATTAATAAAAAAAAAAAAGTCAACGCCGGAGACCGGCGGTCAAAGGTGGTTGACCGGCCGGAAAAAAATTTCAGGAAAAATAAAATTTTCAAAAAAAAAAAAAAATGTCCACGCCGGAGACCGGCGGTCAATGCTGGAATCTGACCGGAAAAAAAAACATTTTAGAAAAATAATTATTTTCTGGAAAAAAAAAATTTGGGATTAATGTGATATATTTGTTTAAATCCGGGGTCAATGTGTAGTATTAAGGAAGTTAGAGCATAATGGGTGGAATTGATAAGAATTATATTATTGGAGGGTATTTTAGACTAAATACATGGTGATGGGTTTAATTGAGAGACTATTTTTTTGTGGATCAAAATGCATTTAAGTTCCATGTGATAGACCTTTTTGCCATTCGCCCTATTAACTATCTTAATATTTGCGGAACCACAAAAAAAGACATATAACATGGGATCGAGTGAGTAAAGTAAGCACCTTACTTGGAAACTTTCACTATTTGTACACCATCTTAAGAAAAAAAAGATGTGATATTTCCACCCTCAAAATATCTTATTTCACCGGCCACCACATAAAATATATTCCCTATTTTACCCAATTTTTTTCTTCTCTTTTACGCATTTTCTGTATAAATTCATAAGTTGTCCACAACCAAATTAATTAGAATATCTACAAGAAAACTCTACCATTTTCCACAAGAATCTTTACCAAATAATCTCACTCTCTCTACATTAAGTGAACGATACCTTAGTCAGAGAAAAACACCGAAAAGTTAAAAAAAGTAGGAATTCACGTTCTTGAAGAAATAAATTTAGAGCGCTACTTGTGTTAAAAAAACCCAAATATTTTTAATACTTTTGTTTTCCGTGGATTAAAATTTTAAAATTAGGTTAATTTTCATTCAATACAGTATGCCCAAAAACTGATTCAAATTGGATGATTATTAGAATTTTGTTTTACCCATTAGGTTTCATTGCAAAAAAATAAAAAAATATAAAACTTAGAACATAGGATGATTAAGCGAATATAAGGGAGGGTTATAAATTTAAAGGGTATTTATAATATTTTATATAATTTGGTGGTGAATTAAGATAATTTGGAAGTGAAAATAGCACCACTAAAAAACGGTAAATATTTCTTAACACCCCTGTGGTTACAAAGTTTGCAGATGACCCCTTTTGTGGTCGCAATATCAACATATTAACTAACCCTTTGCGGTTAATATGGCTAGCGTCCGTTAGTTTATTCCAATTCGATGATTTACGATAAATAGTTGTCGAAATTAAACTTGTCAATTTTTTCAAAAAAATGCAATTTTCTTTTAGGAGTAAAAAAGAAAAAAAATAGTACAATATACTAATTGATTCTAATTAATTTTTGGGGGAAAATAAAAAATATACAAAAAATGTAGTTTTATTTTAAAAGGATAAAAACACAAAAACTAAGACAATATACCTAAAAATACATTTTCCAATACACTACAAAAAAACGGGTCATTACAAATAAGCCCATCAATGGGTACTTATTTATAAAGAGATCCAGACAAAAAACTCATTTACCAATAAGTCCACACATGGTCCAGATTTTTGTAAAGGACTAAAATAACACCTCATACTTTAATATGCTCCAATTTCATCCTTAACTTTATTTAACCTCAATTTGACCCCAAAATTCACAAATTATTCAATTTTGACCCAAAACCTTTTTTTTTCCGCCGGAATCCGGCGTTGACTTTTTCGATTTTTTTTTCCTTTTCTTTTTTTCTGTAACTTTTTTTTTTCGTTTAAACAACAATATTGCTGTGATTGACAGTAATATTAACTATATTACTGTTAAACACAGTAAAATTAACTAAACTACAGTTTTACAGAGTAATATTGCTATATTAATCTCTAGCACAATAATATTAACACAACGAAACTCATTATTATTGTGTAATAGAGAAATATTACTATGTTGACCGTTCAACAAATGTAAACATAATAAAAAGCCAAAAGAATTAATATTACTGTGAGTGACAGTAATATTACTATAACAACAGTAATATTACCGTCAACCACAGTAATATTACAATAATAGACAGTAATATTATTACGTTACTCCGTGAATAACTCAAACAAACAAAAAAATCCAAACAAAATAATAATATTGATGTGGTTGACATCAATATTACTATAACAACAATAATATTACCGTCAACCACATTAATATTATTGTGTTTACAGTAATATTACAATAATAGACAGTATTATTACGTTACTCCGTGAATAACTCAAACATAACAAAAAACCCCAAAAAAAATAATATTGATGTTGTTGACAGTAAAGTTTTTGAAAGAAAAAAGTCAAAATTGGATTTTTGTGGTTAAAATTGGATTTTTGTGGACAAAATTGATTAAATTGGGGTTACAATTAAGAATTGGGTATAAATGGTTGGGGGTAATATTGGCATATACATGAATGTTTCCTTTATTTATAATAAATATTAAAGAGATGGACTTATTGGTGAAAGAGATATAACCCCTAAACCTAGAATAATAAAGATGCTTGGTTGGGGATTTATGTACAAAAACCCCTAAAAAAATCCAAAAATATGTTTTTATACTTTTGTTCATAAAAAACAATAAAAAAATTACACAACTATAATTGTTTTGGTTTTTTTTTTTCTTTCTGATGAAAACACGTGTCACCGGTGACGATAATTTTGGTGCATCCAACGTTGTGGAAGAAGGTGGTGGTGGGGCATCTGACGAAGCAGAAAGAGATGGTAGTGAGGCATCCGACGAAGTAGGAGTAGATGGTGGTGGGGTATTAGATGGGGGAGGAGGAAATGGAGCGGCCGGTGAGGTGGACTCATCGAACAATCTGGCGATGTCATGTAGCGTCCCAACTTCATGGAATGAGCATCGGTTAAGTTAAGCCCCCGTACCTTGCCAAATGTACCATTCACCATCTGCAGAATCACAACAACAGTTTCACTATCATGCCCCCGCACTAGATGAGCTTCTTGTGTTCCAGTGGGGTCGAGGTGGATGCGGTCGGATAATAGGGCCCGTACCGAGCTTGTAGCATGGATGATATGGCTCGAGGTTATCCATGCAAAACACCATTCTACTGAACCACGTCCAGTTGGGTATTGGGAACCGGCAGTCTTAGTATTAGTCTTAGTATTCAGTCATAATATTAGTAATAATATGAGTATTGGTATTAGTATCTTTTAGTTCGTTGATTGTTTAGATCAATTCATTTTGATATTCGAATTGATCCCCGTGCATCGCACGGGTAAAGTACTAGTATTATGTTATTATGGTTTATCTTGCCTTCTAGGCATGTGTTTTATTGGATCATCGAAAGTCCAATAATATAACAAAATTTCAGTATATTATCGGTTAATTTTATCTTGGCAACCAAATAAGGCCTTAGTTAATTATTTTGTCCTCTCCTGAGATTAAATGTAATTACATAGGCAATGTTTGGAACTATGTAGCACGGACACAAAACGGTAATACAGAAAAACGATGATAAAAGACACGGGGAAACGGCATATCCCAAAATGGGGATACAGAAGTTTGGAGGATTAGTTTAAATATTAAAAGTATAGCGGTTTATTTATAAATATAGCCTATATGAACATATATAAGTTTTATATATACATACATATACTTCAGGGTGACCAGAGAGGGGTATGTCAAAATATTTTCAAAATGAAGGGAGTTCTATATAATTCGTAAACGAGGGGTCTGCAAAATAATCCCATAAAATAATACTTAAGCCAAATAAAATTCACAATTATTAACTAACAAAACTAACTTTATCCACTTTTCACAATACACAAAACCCCAATCTCACAGAGTTATCCCCCAAAACCCCACAAAAAATGCAGTCTCTCCAAACCCTCTCCTTCTTCACAACCCTCCTCCCCCTTCCATCAAAACCCCTCCTTAAACCCTCAATTCCACACCTCAAATCCAATTTCCCGACGAAATCAGCCACCACAGCTCCCCCACTCCGCTTCCTCGTCCGCGCCTACTCCTCCGACGAGTTCCCCGTCGGCGACGACGACGCATTCCTCGCCTCATTCGGCCCGAAGGAGAAAGAATCCGAAGAGGAAGCCCGGAGAAGGAACTGGGTCGAAAGGGGGTGGGCCCCATGGGAGGAAATCCTCACCCCCGAAGCCGATTTCGCCCGGAAGTCACTCAACGAGGGTGAAGAGGTGCCGCTTCAATCCCCCGAGGCAATCGAGGCTTTCAAAATGCTAACTCCAAAGTACCGCAGAGAGAAAATCAAGGAAATGGGCCTCACTGAAGACGAGTACTACGCGAAGCAGTTCGAGATTAAGGGAGAAATTCCCGACCCGATCGAGACTCTGTGGAGTGGGCCGTTGGTTTTGGGGCTTGTGCCCCCCAGGGATTGGCCCCCCAGGGGGTGGGAGGTGGATAAGGAGGAGCTCGAGTTCATTCGTGGGGCCCACAAGCTGCATTCGGCTGTGAGGTTGGATTACGAGAAGGTGGAGGAGAGTGTGAAGGAGGCCAAGGATACGGGCGATATGTGCTTCGATAGGTATAAGGTTTTCTTGAAACAGTATCATGAGTGGGTCGAGGCGAATAGGGATCGGTTGGAGGAGGAATCGTACAAGGTTATTTTCTCGACTATCGTGATTTTTGTGGAGTATTCTAGTTGTTTTTTAGTGAAAATATGGAATTTAATTGGTTTATTGCATTAGCTGCGTAGATACGTGTTTCAGTTATTGAATAAATTAATGATCTTTAAGACTTTTTCTTTCTCGTTTAATGTTAGAAAACATTGATCGTAATTGATTGAAGAACTAGAATTTTCAAAGAGTGATTTTTAGCATCGTTTTTGAGTCTTTAAACACTCTCTCCCGTGTGTACGAATGAGGAAGAAAGTTTCTTTATTAAGTTTCGTATAGGAAACTTAAAAGAGGGGTTTGTTACATGTGCAGCTTGACCAAGATTATTATCCCGGCAGGCGGAAAAGGGGGAAAGATTATAACGAGGAAATGGTAAGAGGAGTTTTCTCCGCTGATATTTAGGTTGACGTATCCCGTTTTCTTGAATACAATTTGCGCGATAAAACTGACTCCTCAATTTTTTTCGATTTTTTTTGGGTCCTGCAGTATGAGCTTCCATTCTATTACCCAGGACAAGTAAGTAAACTCTTCCGAGTTCTCCCATTCGTTTTGTTTGTTTTTCCGTTTAACTGAAATTGTACCATGTTTGCTTATAATTCGGCGACATTTATATGATGCAAACAAATAGTTTGAATTATGTTATAGGCCGGCTCGTATATATTCTTTTTGCTCGTTTTTTCTAAGATGCTTTTGAACTAAGCTAATTGTCTAAAACCCCCTGTCCACACATAGTTAAAATGTAAGAACTGTTAAAATTTATGTAACGTACGAAAAAAAGAATGCGTAGTATTTGGACACCAACTAATTTCTGTTGTGAATGTGACGATGTCCACTTTGATTTTCTATATTTAAAAATTGATGAAAATCCTTTTGTTTTAAACCTGTCTAGGAATGAAATATCAGTAACGGGAATTATCTTTTTTTTTTTTTTTTTTTTTTTCAGATTTGTGCAGGTAAAGTAACAGCTGTACATCTTTATCAAGGAGCATTCGTCGACATTGGAGGTGTCCATGATGGGTACACCTTATCACCTTTTGCCGTTTTTTTTTCAAACTAAAGCTACATTTTAAATTTACGAATAATTTTTCTTCCGCGTCTGCTTCTATACAATTTGTTATTATCACTATATAAAAAAATGATTTTAATGTGGTTTACCGCATTTCAGGTGGGTCCCGATCAAGCGCAATGACTGGTATTGGCTCCGACATCACATCAAAGTCGGTATGCACGTCATGGTTGAAATCTTAGTAAGTCGTGCCTTACTGTAATCTTTTTTGTTTAAATATATTCATTCCCATTAATCTCGTTCGGCCTCGTCCTTTTTTTGCTTATTGCACTTTCTTGCCCGATTCAGAATTTAACTACTCTCCATTTTCAGGCAAAACGAGATCCTTACCGCTTTCGATTTCCTTTAGAGCTACGATTTGTCCAACCCAATATAGACCACCTAATGTAATATTTCTCTTTCTTTATGTAAATCTGTAAAAGTCTGCGTGTAGTAGAATCACCGTCTAATTATGCTCGTTGATTTCTTACATTTTGATGCCGTGATTGCAGCTTCAATACGTTTGATTTTCCACCAATATTCCATCGTGACGAAGATACGAATCCAGATGAATTACGTGTGAGCTATTATTATTCCTTCTCTATTTGATTAAGCATATTAATCGTACATTTCTATCGGCTCGTATTTTTTTTGCGCAGAGAGAAACATGAGATTTTATATTTTGAAGTCTCCTTATAATCTTGAAGTATGCTTTATGTTTTTATATTTACGTGTTTTATTAATTTTATTATTAATTTTTTTTTTGCAGCGTGATTGTGGAAGACCTCCGATTCCTAGAAAAGATCCTGGAATCAAATGGGAGGAGGAACCTTTACTATCAGATCACCCGTATGTCGATAAGGTATTCTCATATGTGGATTTTTAAATAATTTTTAAAATCAGGAAAAATATAATTGAAATAGTTATATCTTAACAAGGGAATAAGTTTTCCGAATATAGATTCAAATCTACGTTACTAAGTCTTGTTGTATCTGTGCTTGTATGCAGCTGTGGCAAATACATAATGCTGAACAAATGATAATGGATGACATGGTGGCCAATCCCGATAAATATAAAGGCAAGAAGTTATCGGAATTGACCGACGAAGAAGAATTTGACGACGATAACAGCGTCGAGTATGGAAAAGCGTATTATAAGAAATCACTACTTAACAAAATGATTGTGGTAATGTTTTTTTTTTCTTTTTCTTTTTTTGGTTGTGTGTATGTGTGCGGTGCCTTTAATCATTGATGTGACATTTGCTCGTTTTCTCGATGGCAGAAAATAAGGTTAAAAGAACTCGATTTGGAAGCTGCATTTGCTGAGCGTGAGGTTTGTTTTTCGTGACTATTTAGTATTTACTATAATTTGCATTTTGTTTGATGTTCGTTTCTGCTTTTTTTGTTTCAGCACCACCGTAAACTAAGTAAAGAAGCTGAAGAAAGAGGAGAGAAATACAAAATCACAATGTTCAAGCGAAATGAGGAAATGGATGAATACGACCTTATCCATTGGCGGCGATCGTTTGAAGAAAGAGAAGCTCTTCTTCGAGATATTAGCTGGTACGTTTTATTTACGCACTCAAATTTTTTTAATGACCCCAACCATGTTTTTGAGTGGAAATCGGACGGATCATATCTGAATAAGCACTTTCAGAAAAACTCCGATTTTTTTTCGAGAGTGAAAAACTAATTCCGATTCTGTTCCAAAAAACGAAAACAAGAAGTAGCGAAAAATCAGAATTTTGGAATTTGGGATGAAAAAGCTTGTTCCAAATTCAGAAATTTCGAGATCGAAATCGGCGGTATTCGAAAAATTTCAATTTTTTCGTCGCCTTAAATGCAAATACATAACACAATATGGATATGATACATGTAGATTTCGGGGAAAAATGGAATTCTCGGAATTATTTTCTAAAATTGAAATCCGAATCTCATATTTATTCCTATTTTATTCCAATCCAAAATAATATAGGAAAAAATGGAAATCGGAATTTCATAATGAAAATTACATTTCCATATCAGAAAAATTTGGATTAAAATTAGAATTTCGTTCCAATTTCCACCTCTAATCCTGTTGGATAATTCGCGGCAAATTTTATTTTTTGTTTTAAATAAATTTGCAGCCGTCAAACGCTGGGACTTCCACTGGAAGAGCCAGGTAGGTACGTGGACCCCAACTTCTTTGGAAAAGACCAATATGACCCTGACAGTCCGTTGTACCGTTACGACTATTGGGGCGAGCCGAAGAATTCGGAGAAAAGCAGACAAGAACGCATGACAGATGCACACAACAAATCCATAGTCGGTAAGGGTACTGTTTGGTACGAAATGTCTTACGAAGAAGCAATCAAGCAGCAAATGGAGAGGGAGAAACTTGGAATTAAACCGAAAGTATATGATGACGAGGATTCAGACAAAGACGACGATGATGATGACAGTGACGATGACGACTTTGATTACAGTATTTTGGGATCTCCAAGTGCCGAACTAGTGGCCAGTCAGCCTCATGTTAACGGCACTGAATCTTCGAGATTGTCCGATGAAGGAATTTTCGAGGATTAGTTTTAGACAAAATATATATATGAGAATTTTTGTGTAGAGGGAAAAACATTTTTGTAGTGTATGTATCACACACTAATCACCTTATTTAACAATATATTAAAACTATATATTTGCTTTTTTATTTATGTTCATTTAAATCCCTGATTCCCCTTTCTCAAATTCTTAATTCGTAACAATATATTTACACATGTATCCAAGAAAATTCGAACCCGTATATTAAAATATCGAGAGTCTAAAACCATAAACGTTGGCCCGTGAAACAATCTTGAAAGCAGTTATTGTACATACATAAAATTTAGGCAGAATCTATTGCATGAATTAATTAACCTAATAAGCAAACTCGAAATCAATCCTCATTGAACCAAGGGTGATTGAGAGCAGCTTGTGCAGTAATTCTCTGACTGGGGTAGAACGCCAAAAGCTTCTCGACTAGGTCAACTCCTAAATCGCCGGGGTGTGGAGATCCTTTGACTAATTTAGCAATCGTAAACTTTAGACTCAACGATGCTGATATCGACTTCATTAGATTCTTTATTTTTATCAACTGATCAATTTCACTATCCCCTTTGAATAGAGCATCCTTTATAAAAAGTTCGGCCATAATACAACCCACCGACCACATATCCACTGCACACCAATAATAATTGTTGTCCTCCGATCCAACAAGCAATTCCGGTGCTTTGTACCATAGAGTTCCCACGCGCGGGGTATAACATCCTCCTTGTTTGTCGTAAGACGTTGTTGTTCTAGACAAACCAAAGTCGCATATCTTCGCTTGATCGTAACCATACACGCTGGTGGATATTAGTATATTCGACGGCTTCAAATCCCGATGCATCAACCCGTTATCGTGCAGATACCGCACCCCCTCGAGTATTTGTTTCATCACTATTTTGGCTTCACGTATAGTTTTGAAACAAGTGTCGCCCGAGATGAATTTCTTGAGGTCTTTCTCAATGTACTGCATCACGACAAGGACGTTGTTGGATTTGTCGACATAGAATCCGTTGTAACCGACGATCGAGGGGTGTGGAGGAAGCGATTGCAGGATGTTGATCTCTCTGATTGTTGATTTCGTGAAACCGTCGAACTCGTGCTTGATTGCGACAAATCTGCCGGTGTTCTTGTCGCAAGCCCTGTACACCTTGCCGTAAGCACCTCGGCTGATCACATTGATCAACACGTACCGCGATTCCATATCCATCTCCGATTCCATAATCAAACAGATTGATCAAGAAATCAATAAATATTGCTAGAAGAAGAAAAAAAAAATTGTATGATCTGTAAAAATAATATTGATGCGTGAAAGGGTTTGTATGGTGGGTTTAGAGATATTTATATATGGTTTCATATAATGGTAAATTAATATTCTTGATATATAAAATTAAACGGTTATGCAGGAACCCCAATTATGCAGGAGTCAGCTGAAATACAATATTCCTATCTAGATTATTATAACGAGATCGTGTATGATAGGAGCGTGTACTTATATATGCATGATAATATATAGCACTGATAATTGATAAGTAGATAATGATATATCTATCTGCTTATCAATGTCTAGAATAAATCTGGATTATTAATGGCTTTCTTAAGAAAGTTCAGGGCCAACAACAACTTCTTCATTTGATTTAGGGCAAAGTACAGTTTACACCCCTAAACTATAGGGTTGTACCAGTTTGCCCCCTGAACTAGGAAACGTCTCAAATACCCCTCGAGTTTATGGTCAACCATTAAATTATTAACATCTTTAATTTAAATGTGCAATTACTTCTTTGTCCTTGGGGGTTTGTTGTAAGAAACTTAATAATTATATAATTAATACGTGATGTATTTGTCGGTTTTGTTATAAATTTGTGATTGAAGTGAATTTATGGTTTACATGATTTTCTTAATTGTGTTTAACTTTTGGATTCAATATGTTTGTTAATTGTCCTTTTGTTTATGCCCTTCATTAAATGCATAACTTTTGGGGTGATTTTTGTGCATCATATGATGTCTTGTAACATGAAGAATAAGAATTTTGTGTATTTGAGTTGTTACTCGACATTATAATAAATCCACTTTCCCCCCTTGTACTTTAGCTCAATATCACTTTGCCTCCTTCCACTCTCAATTGCATCGATTTGCCCCATTGTACTCTGGTTTGATATCACTTTACATCATTCTACTCTCAATTGCATCGATTTGCCCCATTGTACTCTGGATTGATATCACTTTACCTCATTCTACTCTCAATTGCATTGATTTGTCCCTTTGTACTTTGACTCGATATCACTTAACCCCTTCTACTCTCAAATTCATCAATTTGCCCTCCCGTACTTGAAAAATTGTCTCAATGTGGCTCTCGCCATTAGTTTTCACACCTTTGATATTTACTCCGTTTGATCTAAGTTTGAAAATTACAAAAAAACCACCCTCCACAGTTTAAATAATTATTAAAAAAAATTAAAAAAATAAAAATAAATTGTGGCTGGCGTCGTGGACTATGTTTTCTTATTGTCTTGAATTTTTATTTTTTGTTTTTTTTATTTTTTTTATTTTTTTATTTATTTTTTTAATAATTATTTAAACTGGGAGGGGTGACGTTTTAGTAATTTTCAGACTTAGATCAAACGGTGTTAAGGTCAAAGGTCTGAAAACTAACGGCAAGGGTCACATTGAGACAATTTTTCAAGTACATGGAGACAAATCGATGCCATTGAGAGTAGAAGAGGGTAAAGTGATATCGAGCCAAAGTACAAGGGGCAAATCGATGCAATTGAGAGTAGAAGGGAGTAAAGTGATATCGAGCCAGAGTACAAAAGGGCAAATCGACCCAATTAAGAGTAGAAGGGGTAAAGTGATATCGAGCCAAAGTACAAGCGGGGAAAGTGGAATTTACCCTAGTAATTATCTTGTGTAGTGATGTATTATTTCAGAACTGAATAAAATCAAAGCATTTGAAAACTGGAAGTGTTGATTTCGTCTAGTTCTCCAAATAAGTGTAGTTCAATATCAATATATTCGAAAGATGATAAATCACATTCGACCGGTGCTTGTGTTTCAGTTTAAAACGAGAGTTTTTACAAAAGTTTGGAAAAATCAGTAAAGGACACCAGTACAAAGCAAAAGACAGCCCGAACTGATTCGGTTCCGTTCTCTATAGATTTCAAACAAAACTTCCTCGTTTTTCCGAAGTTTAAGTTGCTCACCAAAATCATACCTGGATTTGCGTTCATCGCCTAATTGCCTAACTTGGCATGTTTCTTCTCTTCCACTCGAGTGACATGGACTCCAACTACCACAACTGCTTGTCGAACGATCACTCCGGTTGTTTAAGGAAACCATACCCTGCATAAAATATCGGAAATTCAAGAAAATCTAGACATGAGATAACTTTTACGCATAAATATATTCAAAGGCTTATAAGGTAAGAATAGAAGTTAACCTTTTCCGAGTCCCACTGTAGAGTTTTTGGCGTGACGAGGGTGTGTGCCTTTATAATACTTGAGAGAGAACCACATTGACCAGTCTCCAACTGCAACCAAGGCAAACTAACTCCGTCCATTTCACCATAATTGTAAGAAATAGGCCCGGTGGGGCTCTTGTACGTTTCACCTACTTTTATAGTTGCTCCTAATATTGAACTTCCATCGCTTCTTTCTCCGTCAAAGGAAGATATGTCAGTATCTTCGACATTAGAAATGAAGTCCTCCAAGTATTTCTCTGCCTCCTCGGTCAATCTTTTCGACGCCCTATGTTTGTCGCGACTTTTCTGTAACATCGAAAAATCGAGAGTTAAATTACTATAAAGTATACGTTAAATTTAAAGGCAGAAGCGAACTTGTATTTTGGTCACAGTTTTTGAGGAAGGGAAGGCACCTTTCTTGCATGCGATGACTTCTCTGTTAGAGCTGAAGTTCTTGAAGAAGGAAGTTCTTTGACCATTATAGAGACTTCTCGTTCTCGTTGCTCCTCAATCAACATCTCAGTGAGAAGGTCGTGTTTGCGCCTTTCCAACTATAAATATGAGATATTTCCATCACGTTTAGGATTATGAATATGAATCTTAGGATACAAGGTTAACAGAGGTTTTGGACACTAATTCTATAGGGTTCAATGAAATTACCAAATTCATACTAGCTTAAGTCTATAACTAACCGGAATAAAAATCCTTCGTAAGTTGGCAATACTCTTGCGAAATCTATGTAAAACCAAGAATAATTTAATAGTGTGGTGTGATCGAAAATTTTGTGAATCAATTGACTCCTTCAATGAAATATCACCAGTGAACTGTCAATTGGATTTTCATATAGGGAGTTCATCCAAACATTATTTACATTGTCCTGCAGAGGTAAGATTTCATGTAAGAAAGCACACACAAAAAAAAAAAACCCACCTGTTCCAACTTTTCGGAATAACTTTTTCTGATTTTAGAAAAATCCTCAGAATTATCTGACTGCAACCGGTGACCTCTAGTTAAAGCTGTCTGTTGTCTTCCCAATGACTGCATTCAAGAATAAGTTGTTAACATATCAAGCAAGTCCGTAATTTCTTTTTTTTTCATCAACAAACGTGCAATGTATCCCACCATCAAGACAATCTAACAAATAGAACTATAATTGTTTCCGTTTAGACGAACTTGTTTACATTCTGTTTGGATCTCTTCAACAGCATATCTGAGTTTGTTTCGCATTACTTTGTATAAACCACAATTTGTACAGTTTAAGTAGGGTTCTCGGCCTCAAAAGCCGATAAGTATGTGCAGGGCAGTTAAATGTGTTTAGGAATTGCCTCCCAATGACAGAAGCAAATATATATGCGTTAAATAAATAAATGGCAAATACACAAATTATAGACAAAGTCTTACAGAGTAGTCATCAGGTAACAAATGGAGATCTTTATGGCTCTGAGTTCTTCCCAGACGTCGGTTGCTTAAAGCTGTTTCCTTCGGCATTTGGCCTTTCCCACTAACGGGAGCCTTCAAATTAGCACATCCGCTCGAATTCCGAAAATGATCAGCCTCGTTCTGTAAATAAAATGTAAAACAAAATATTATATTCTCGTTCACATATATGCAGTAATTAACTTCGCGGAATGGATCTTCTGCATCTTCACTCACTTTCTAAAATGTAAACCTTCTCTCCATAAGTACTCTCTCACTAAAAATCATGCAATCATTACAAATCCGCAACCACTACTTCCAATGGCTAAAAATAAAGATGCGGAACCTTTTAATTAATCGAACATCACATAATATACGAGATCAAGCTACAGCCTACATATTGTTCATCAAGTTGCAAAAATATACGATTCTCGAAGATATTTCACAATGACAAATTTCCAGTTCAACACTATATTGTATAAATTGTGCAAGGGGAAAAAAAACAAATGTCAAAAATCAAAAGTCACCTCTGAGTCGCTAAGCTGAGAGCGAGCCGCCACCGAAAGCGACCTCCGCCTCCTTGAACCACCAGTATCATACGAACTGACATTTTTAGCCCCGGGGGCAGAGCCGCTAGTAGAAACAACCTCTCCACGCGGCCTGGACACAGACCGGCCCCTCCTCTGAGACGAAGCTGTATCACTGGCCCACCGCCCGATCTGCCCCGGACGCGAAACCGACCGCCCCTCTCGCTCCTTCCTCTCGACTCTCCCCTTGTTGTCCTCGTTCTCGTTCCTCGAGAAAAACTCGAGCGCCAGATCATCTAAGCTAATCTCCGGAAACTGCGGCGGCGGCGGCGTAGGGTTACGGTACTCTTCCGTCGGCTCGGGATCGATCGACCTGGGGGAGAATCGGCTGACACTCCTTGAGCGGCGGAGGGAGCGGCTGGAATCCTCGGAGCTGGAGCCGCCGACTGAAGCTCTCTTGGTCGTTGATTTGAATGCCGATGTCGCCATCGTTGATTGAAAATTGTGATAATTAATTAATTCACAGGAAAACTCATCAATCAGCTGAACGGATATGCAGAAACTGATCTGAATGTAGAGTTAGGGTTTAGGAGTGATCAATTTGTTGAATTTGGAGCAGTGGTGTAGAGAGAGAGAGAGAGAATTGGTTTTACTGTTTCAGGATTTAGAGAGAGAAAGCTTGTGTTGTGGATGGATCGGAAATGGAGGCAATATTTGAAATTGAGAAATTCGATTGTCTGATCTGACGGATATACCCCCGCATTATAGATTAAAAAATAAAATGCGTAATTTCGTGATCTGGCACCTCAATTTGAACATTTTGTACGAGTCAAATGAATCTACTTTAATTTGAATAAGGTAATTATTTGATTGGGCCAAATAAATAAATAATTCAAATCTTTAATGGTATAAATAATATAATACTAATTTCTTTTATCGAAACATGTGTTGATAACAGTAGGGTTAAATAGGGATAATTACAGTTTTCACCCCTTAAATTTACAATGATTTCACATTTGATATGTTCATAAAAAACATATTTGGTCCCTAATGGTTCAAACATTCAACACTTTTAAGTTTTTTCCGTCAATTTTTCGTTAGTACTGACGGAATCAAGAATGTACCAAATACCGTCTTAACTTACGGACTAACGATAAATTGGCGGAAATGGATCAAAAAAAAGAGTTGGATAACAAAACGAAAAGGAAAAAAATAGACTCGATACTCCCCTCTTCATTGCATGAAAAACGATGACCAAAGTAAAGGCGAGGATGGGACCCTTACAACATTAGGCATTGAGTCCAAATCCATTTGGTCACTTTATAGACATACCCCGAACTGGGGCACAGTTTTGCAAAGGTCCAAAATTGGCGCGATGTAATAGCATATGTATTATTGATCGACCAGTAGTGTACCGTATGGTATTTTATTTTTTTATTGCATATTGGGTTGTTTTTTTATTTTTGGAAATGGGTATTTCACTATTTTGGTATTTTGCGCCATAGATGACTTGGTAGTCCTGGCATTTCTTTAAAACTAATGGTCATTCATTTTTTAAGGACTCGTTTGATGCAAATTGGTACTATAAAATCATCTTTGATAAGTTATATGAATATCACACTCTTTGTACATTACACCCTTAAGTACGATATGTTTCTGCCATATAGTTGTTCCTAACTCCAACTCATTTTATTCAAAGGCATTGGGTATACGGTCTTCTTCTGACGCATATACACCGCGTGGACGCTCATGTGTATGCGACTCGTTCGCTCACCTATGCGCTTCCCTTTAGTGATATACAAAACCTAAAACCTAAAACCTAAAACTCTAAGCATTAAACTTGATACCATATTGGCTCATATTGACACGGATAATTATATTATTTATTCCAAACCAATACAAACATGCTTGAGGGTCATTTAGAGGTTAATTTTTAGTTAAATTAAATAAAAAACAAATAAATTTGAATGTTGACTGTCGTGCTATATTGGATTCAATAGTTACGTATACATACGGTGACAAGAATGTAGTGTCCTATGCCTAGCGTACGTATACAGTCAAAGCACACCCGACGTTTTCCCTAAAGGTGCACAACGTATGGGTTGCATTTGCCCCATGTGCCTAACATTTGTTATTCTTGAATGATCAAATATGGCCCCGTTAGGGGTCCATAGGTCACATTGGGTGTCAAAAGTAATATGGTATCCATCGAATCATGTGTTTTATTGAGAACCTTCATTTCCATCTACAAATATCACTAGTACATCAACAACTTCTACTCAGTATTGGTGAATCATTAAAGTTGATACTGGATTGGCTCATATTGACACGGATAATTATATTAGTTGTTCCAAAACCAATATAAAAAATGGTTGAGGGCTATTTAGATGTTAATTGTTAGTTAAATTAAATAAAAAATAAATAAATTTGGATGTTGACTGCTGTGGTATATTGGATTCAATAGTTACGTGTACAGACGGGGGCATGAACGTATTGTCCTATGCCTAGCGTATGTATACAGTCTAGGATACCCGGTGTTTTCCCTAATGGTGCACAACGTATGGGTTGAATATGCCCCCTACAACTTACATTTGTTATTCTTAAATGATCAAATATGTCCCCATTAGGCGTCCATGGGTCACGTTGTGTGTCAAAAGTAATATCATGTCAACTGAATCATGTGTTCTATTGATCGAACCTTCACTTATTGGCTCATATTGACACAAATAATAATATTATTTGTTGGAGCGCAAGTCATAGTGAAGCTCTTGCCCCAACAGTTCAAGGCATTTCGGAGCATGCATAAAGGCCAAGCGCGAAGGTATGAAGGACCATTCCCGGTGATCATCAAAGTCGGTAAAGTCTCTTATCGCCTAGAACTTCCAAGTTCTTTGAAGATTCACCTGGTCTTCCATGTGAGCATGTTAAAACCTTATCACGAAGATAAGGAAGACCCAAGCCCAGGAGAGTCACATCGAGGAGTCGAGGAAGTGCTCGGCAGACAAGTGAAGCGACATATTGGGGTGTTCCACCAAGTACACAATACCTCATCAAACAGAAGGGACTACCCGAGTCCGAGTCAACGTTGGAGACTAGGGAAGACTTGTGGCAATTTTAAGATCGTCTCCACTTGTTCGAGGCAACGAGGACGTCGCCGGATTAGGCGGGGAGGATGTCACGACCTGCCAGCTTTTGCCCAACCCTTTGCCAGTTTCCCTTGGGTTGGATAGGTTAAAGAAGTTGAAAAATGGTTAGGCCTAAGTTGGCCCAAATATAAATAGACTTGGTAGAGATCCTTAGAGGATTCTAGAAAACTTTCTAGAACCGTCTCTTTGTAGATATTTTGTAGGAATTATTTGGAGTGTTCTAGTGAACAACTCCTAGCCCTTAGATCAAATAGATTTCAACCATCCATCACGGAGGTGGCCTAGTATAAAGAGGAGTAGGGACTTTACTTGTAAAGCATCCAAGCAATTGTAAGCACTCAAGCAATACGAGTACTTTCGTATAAAGTTCTCGTATCTTCTTAAGTTTTTTGTTCGTTTTCCATCATTTAATATTCGCAACACATTTAGGGAGGCTGACTTAGCTATCGCGAGGGGCAAAAAGGAACTAAAGTTGCACGGTTCGTTGTTAAGAAAACAAGTCCGTAACAACACGCGTGATATCGCCTATGAGACGATTAAAGGTATAATCGATGTCGTCAAAGAGAAGTGTAGTATGAAAACCGGAAGGCTGATGTTTGTGCATTTGGTATATGGCATTTATGTGTTGAGATTGACTGTATGGAATACTTAAAGGTATGCAATATGAGATGATTTCGATTAAAGTTATAATTGTTAAATTACAAGACTAATGCATTTACTTTCTATGCAATAGAGCCTGGAAAATCATCTGCATCGGCTCCTATTCCTGCACAAACAAGACAGTAGTCTCTGTTTTTAGTAGTTATATGTGATAGATTTACTTTCTATGCAATAGAGCCTGGAAAATCATATGCATTGGCTCCTTTTTAGTAGTTATATGTGATAGATCTGCTTAGAAGTTGTGTGTGATGGATGTTCATGTTGGAGTAGGTGACCAACAAGCCAACTTGTGGCTGTGGTCTTTCCTTTTATCTTGTAATAAAACAATCGTTTTTCGTTCGTAATAATAAAATATTTCATTTGGCGTTCTATATCTCTTATCCCATGCAAGCAACATAGATATAGTCCTAACGAGTTACTCTATTACTGTGAGTTGGTCTAGTAGAATCGTGAGATAACTCAGCAATGTAATGTAACTGTTAAACCTTGTTCCTAGTCGATGGGTTACGCCAATAATGAGGATACCGGCCTTTCCCTTTTGAGACTAGCACTTAGTGTATGTGTACTGCGTCTCATCAGTCCTCGGTGTTGTGACATCGGCATACTTGAGTGGGTGCTCATACTAGATGAGTTCACTGAACTCCCTCGCCCTAGAAATCTATAAGTGGTTCTCATTCATCGAGTAATAGGTTTCTAAGATATAGTTGTACACCATTAGTCCTTAAGACCCAGACATCACCGTGACTTCACTAGAGGACCGATTGTATCGTGACCTGTCCCTGAGTCCCACAGCGGACCACTCCAAGGGCCAACGTTCGTGCAATTCAAAATCTAGTGTGAAGTCTATGCATTGTAGTAGGGGATTCGAGCGCTTGAGTAGTCATGGATGTCCTGTGTGTTCTGACGGTTTATAATCCAAGGAATCTCTGGCCAGAGTTGATAGTGGGGTGATTAGGGAAATGTGTTTCCCTAAGTCGCACACGAACGAATTTAGAATACCTAGAACGTTCGCACGGTTATTGAACTTTATAAGAGGTCTCGGTGAACCAATGCCTATAGTTCAATCGGTACATGTGCTGCGAAGGGATCGTACTGTACGCTAACTATATCATAAGGTTCTTGCAGGCACTTCACTTGTATCTAGGGAATCATGATGCGTAGTTGCTAGACGCCAATCTTGATTCGTTGGGCACCGATTTGATCGGGGATTAGGTAAAATGAGTTTTACTCTAATCAGGACTCTTGGGAGGAGTTCGTATAAGAACAATGTGTTGTTCGAATCACAAAGAGTTGTGAGCCCACGGCTAGCATACACCTGAACCATTGAGGGTCACACTTCTCGTGTAATACGGATCCTTGATAACAATGAGCATAGGTTAATATGTTAATCTTTGCGAAGTTGGAGGTCAATATGATTGAGTCCAAGATTCGTGATTGTGGATTACGAGTCGGAATAAACGTAGAGAAAGAGACATGCGGAAATTAGTGAACTTTCTAAATTGGGAAGTTTCCCGATTTAGCAGGTCCACTGAAGTGGAAGTTTCCAATTTTGGAAATTGGAAATTTCGAAGAGGCACTCGTATCGACGAGGACTTTGAGCTCGTCACAAATATAATTTTTTTATAATTTTGTGAATGATCGTTTGTTAGAAACGAGGCCGACGAGGGATTGGGCTTAATGCATCAGTGGGTCAAGCCCAATGACTTAAACCCACAAGGGTTGAGAACGCTAGTATAAATAGACCTCAAACAAGAGTTTGAGATCAGATTTTTTACTCCAAAAACCCTAGCCGTCAAACCCTAGCCGCCCAAGCCTCTCGGGCGCCGCTGCCCCGCCGCACCGGCGCCGTCCGCCGACCGAAAACCGCCGGTTTTTCCCTCTTCTTTCTCTCTCGTGTTTCCCTTGTTATCTAACCCCTTTGTATCTAGTGCTACAGTAGGGGGAGATCCGTTTATTAGAGGTGAAACCTAATTGGAGAGGAGCTGCTGCCCCGACGGAATCGCCACACCGCCGCTGCACCGCCGCACGCGCCGCTGCCGCTGACACACACGCGCCGCCGTCGCCTCACCTTCGGACCAGCTGCCGTTTGGTGGTGTTCCTGCAGCCCCTAGGAGTGGTATAAAGCAGCTTGTACGTGTTTGAGTTTGGATTTCGATTCGTCGAAATCTCATGCTACAAGAGGTAATTAAATCGAAACTTTC